AGCCTAAACTAGCCTAACTGAACCTAACCTAACCTAACCTTACCTTACCTTACCTTACCTTACCTAACCTAACCTAACCTAGAATAGACCAGAACCTAAGCTAAGGGCTAACCTAACCTAACCTAACCTAAACCTAACCTACCTAACCTAACCTAACCACCTAACCCTAACCTAATCCTTAACCAAACCTAACCTAACTAACCCAACCCAACCCAACCCAACCCAACCTGACCTAACTAACCTGACCTGACCCTGACCCGTGACCTGACCTAGCCTAGCCTAACCTAACCTAACCTAACCTAACCTATAACCTAACCTAACCTAACCTAACCTAACCTAACCTAACCTAACCTAACCTAACCTAAACCTCCCCACCCGTATCCCGTGAAACCCCGCATCCCATTGGCGTCCATGTTCCATGCCATATATAGGTACCATATAGTGAGCTTTTATTTAGCCGCCATGTTCTCATTTTGCTTTACATTCCCCACCCGATCCCCCTGCAACCCATCGTCCCGTTGGCGTCGATGATCAAATTTCATGGATTCTTGTTACCTTGGCCCCGTACATTTTTATGGTTCTTGATGCGGCTTGATGCGCAGCAATGTTGTGGCCGCGCGCAGTAATGGCGCCGGTGTCGCGGCTGCTGTGTGTTTGCGGCGGCCGGATGTTCGGTATCGTAATTAGTTAAGTTCCAAGGTAAGAGTATAGATGACCTGTTCAACGATTAATTATGATATGTTCTGCCTTAAAAACAACGATTGATGTACAATGCTCTTTTGTAACATGGGGTAGGAAAGTACACCCTGACCTTTCCTACAGTTCACAGATATACCCTCTGTAAGACTTGAAATCTCCTCACTTTTAGTAAGGTGCATGTCAACCTTGGCAGATGATTTTGCCCTATGTGCAGAGTTGAAGTCACAAAGAGATGTATTATGTTAGAGTATGTCACACAAATTTGCCTCCTCAGTTGGCCAGACTGTGTTCAAGGTCAAATGAAACAGGTGCATTGAGTTCTTTGTGTCTGAATTATGTCAACACAAAATTTCACTTCAACATATGCCAGTTGGCATTCAACCAGGCTGACATGTAAAATCCAAGTTGGTCACAAACAGCATTTTGTGGTACATAATGTAGGCATTCGATCAGGCCTTCCAGTCATGGCGGACATGGGGCTAGGGATAGAATAACTGAAGAATAACTAACCCAAGAATGTGAATGCAAGTAAAAAACATGTGATCGCGGAAAAATATACCAGGAGACCGTACAATACTTATGAAATGCTAATACCATATGCAAATATACCACGAAAAAAGGCCGAGACACGCCCATAGAATGGTGGGCGGTTTATCCACACACATAAAATAGCAAGTCACCTGTAGCGAGTTTAATTATACAAGTGAGTCGGCCCCTCTGCTTCAGTGGCAATTCAGACACCGCCAGTCTCGCAGGCACTCTGACATAAAATTTTCCATGACGTAATCGAACGATTGTGTGTTAAACATTTTGATAAATAGCTAAATGGTGTTATCTTGATTATTTTGTGCACTGGAAACCATACCAATAGTTACAAGGGAACTTTTCCATAATATCTTGTACTTACCTCAATGCTTGCAATGCTTTCAAATGTGGAACATTCCCTTTAAAGGGTTACATTTAGGCCAATAACTGTATTTATGCAAGCGAGGTGGGTTGAGAGTGAGAAGAATATTTGGAATTCAGAAGCTTTTTGATTAAACATCGGGAATATGTTTCTTTTTCTTAAAAAAAAAAAACACTTTTGAATGATATCTGAAAGCTTACTGCGTTTCCCATCTTGTCAAGATGAGCTATGAGCTCTTGAGCCATTATAACACTGTCAGGTCATGTGACAACAGCTTTCTTGCTTTGCAGGCTTGGCATTTGAAGTAGTGGAAGGAGGGTTCTTGGACATTGACATCAAGCTGATCGGACCTGATGGCAAGACAGTGTACCAACAGGAGAGAGAAAGCAATGGAAGGTTTACTTTCCCAGCCCACATGGATGGTGTTTTCACATATTGCTTCGGAAACAAGATGTCAACAATGACTCCCAAAATTGTGATGTTCTCCATGGATCTGGGGGAAGGAGACAAGAAGGATGGGGTCGATGGCGAAGGTCAGTATATCATTTCGCATCCGTAAAACATTGTTCGGCATTGCAGCTAATTATTTACATGTACTTTGGTGTATTGTATCTTCCTGACCATCACGCACACCGTTTTGCAATAGTATCGCAAGTCTGCTTGCAACTGACGGTCAGAGGATTAATAAACAGTCCATCGTCAGTCACACCTATAACTTTTGTTACAGTGAATGCAGTAATGGCTAATTCTTTTCATTTAATTTCAGCCAGTCACAACAAGTTGGAAGATATGATCAAGGACCTGGGTGCGGCACTGACGGCTGTGAAACACGAACAGGACTACATGGAAGTGCGAGAGAAGATACACAGGGCTATCAACGACAGTACCAACTCGAGGGTCGTCATGTGGTCGTTCTTCGAAGCCTTGGTGCTCGTGGCAATGACCATGGGCCAGGTGTACTATCTGAAGCGTTTCTTCGAGGTTCGGCGAGTGGTGTGAAGAAGTTACTTGGCTTGAAGATTGAGCCTTTTGAATTGGGTGTGGTTGGGGTGGACGGCAAGTAATGAGGTGTTTGACTGGAGACGCATGACTTGATCCACTCAAGCAGCTTTGATGTGTGGTGCACTTTCAGCCGTTGTGCGATTCGGAACGCTGATATCGTCTAGGCGAGGGCGGAATGGAGTCTTTCGGTCCGTTGTGGAACGCTGGCGCGTTGCGTGTTCCGACCATGGAAAGTGCGTACGGTTGCTTATTTAGACGAACTGCCAGCAAGGAAAACGGTCGGTGGTGAGTTGTGCGCTGCTTGTGTTCGATTGGTATTGGGTTGCATATTACTTGTATTGTTGGTGCAGCGTAAGTCAAGTCCGTCAATCCGTAAATTGAAGCTTTGTATGCTCCCCAGTGTTTCACCGCATTCTTTCAGCTCCTTTTTCTGGAAGCGCGTCCTTCCATCCAGAAGTCACAATGGTGGGAGTTTAGCCAGGAATTATCGAAAGTATGAAAATTACAAGTAATAAAAGTCATGTTTTTCGGCGCTTATCCAATGTGAACTGATTTATCTTACACACGCCATCAGTTGTCTACATATTCCGTATCCAAACCCGACCGCAGATTGTGACGCTGGTGCCGCACGCCGGTCAGTCACGCCGAGGCGTTTCGTGGCCCGGAGGTGTGGTGGTGCAAGCGTTTCTCTGCGGTGGTGCAAGCGTTTCCGCTCGTGAAGGTTTTAGGGGGTCTTACCGATTGCTCGCCACGAGGAAAGCTAGGGCACAGGAACCTGGTAATTTTCGTGCTTAACGGTACCGTGGAAGGAAGCTACCGTCTCTGCTTTGGATTGTCCGTTAAAACCAATGTTTGATGGTCCACGTTTAAGGGCAAACGGCAGGCGTTATTACAACACTTAACATTGCCTGCCTTCGAGCAGAGGCAGATCATAAAATCAGGACAAAATATTAGCAAAGCGGTGATGAAAACTAGAAGCCAGACCTGAGGCTCTCTCCATGCGGCGGGAACAATAGAACATCGAAGCCGACAAACAAACAGGGATACGGGCATCGGAGGGACAAGCCTTCGGCGTTGGCTGAGATCGATGGACCCGACCTTCGGCGTTCACCGTCCCTGTGGCCGGGGCCGGGGATATTTCGGAGGACTATCGACTCTAGTTTCGCGTCCCATGTTTTTGGGTCGGCTATTTTCCCGTGTTGTGGTCGGCTGGTAGCTGGCCACGGTCGGCGTGGCGCAGGGCGGTCACGTCATACCAATGCATGCACGAAATAGGTCCCTCCGCGGTCACGCCTCGCAATATGCCGGAGCAAACCATTCGTAGAGGTAAAATGATAACACCTGGGTGGCAGTTAAGGACGGAGCGACAAACTACTCTGCACGCACTCAGAGGCTGGTGCCACCCACGCAAGGCGCTCTGAGACGATTTGTGAGGTCATGCATGTAAGAGGACGTGCTCCAAACAGACATATTATACCATTGCAATACTATTGCAAAATGGTCAAAAAGCTAACAGCCAAGCTGAGGCTGACGCTTACGTCCCTGAGGTTCCCGTCGTGGTCTGTAGCTTAGCACCTGCTGCTTGTTGCTAGGCATGACGCGCCTGCACATCACTGAACATAGCTTTTGTGGTATTGACAGTTGCACTTCAAGAACAACTGGCAACGGCACTTGGACAGCCGCTGGCAACGACCGGCTTTACTAACCGCCGGCAATGCCTTTTGTCCAACTGACTCGGCGCTGCACTACTTTCAAAGGATTTTGAGAGCACCACGCCTCTTCTGCAAGCTTGTGTTGGGAACAGTTTCGTACCGTCCCGTAGTGGACACCTCTCCGTGCCCTGTGACAGCGGTACACCAACGGCAGGCGACAGGCCAGTCGGACCGGTCCAAGTCACCAGTGGGCCAGTATACGAGTCAGTGAACGCCGAGCAGCCGTGACCAGTGTTCATCGAACGCAAACATCAACCACACTCATTTTTGACAAGACAAAGAACGGTGACAACTCATTTTTGCATGCTCTATCGAGGCGTCACATTGCTCTTGAACTGTGACCAAACGGTGCGTCGCCTGGCGTCTCCGATATGCGACACAAACGAGGCTATAAAACACAAAACATTATTGATATTTCGTTCCGAGTTGGCGACGGGATGAGCATGGCAAGAAGTGCAGGCAGATGCAGCAGCATCACATAGTGCAGCAGCCATGGGAGCACAATCTCTCTTAGCCTTGAAAAATTCTCACTTTTTACTGGCTTCGTTCAAGCAGATTTCAAGATTGGCTCTGCCATGTCTCTTTCTTGGCCTTGAAAACTTTTCACTTTTACCGACTTCGTTCAAGCAGATTTCACGATTTTAAGCGACGACATATTAGCTCTGCCACGTTTCTTGGAGAAGTGTGCCAATCTAACGTTTATTAAACAATGCTAGCAACTTCACACGTCAATGATAGGTGCAAATAGCCGCTCATCGCGCATCTATAACATCCTCCTCTAACACGTGCCAGGGTTTCTGCTCCCTATGCTTGCTCCACCACGGCTCGGACTGGATGGCAGAGGGCTCCTGCAGCTTCACCCCGCCCTCCTCCATCGCGCGGACAAACAGCCGTAACTGTGGACGCAACAGAGAGGCGTCATGCACGGCTCAGCACTTGCCACCACGACCCCTTGTAATAAGCAGCTGACTACGGTGGATCGCTGGCTTCAGCTACCTGCGGCATATCCACAACCATTCCACATCGTCCCTGTTGAACTGGGCTCTGCCTTCGAAAGGCAAAGCAGGTAAGTGCTATGTTAACTGATGGCTCTTAGGCCTTTTTGCCTTCGGACGGCACTGATTTTTGAACCGTGGGGCACGTTTCGTGCTCGTCGCGGCCGAGACCAACATCTTCAGTTTGATATCACAGCTGTTAAAGGCGCCACATGGTAGTTGTTAAGACCACACATAACTTAACTCCAGCTTGGGAGGTATACATAGGGTGGGGAACACTTGCGGTTTTCCACCACGTCTAGGCAAGTACCCGAGGCCTGACCCGTGTTGGGAGTGACCAAGGCGCTGGTGTTTCGGAGGCCACTGACCCGATCCGAGCGCTGCAGCTCCTCCTCAGTGGCAGCGAAATGCACTTCAGTCAGACCGGCCTGCAGGCAGCGTCGCGCCAGCACGCGGCCCACGTTCTCGGCCGCGGACACATCTACCGCCGAGAACAGGTGGCGGCGCAGGCACAGCTCGCGCGTGGACGCCGACACCACGCTGCGGCCCGTCCGGTGCTCCACGTGCGCCGACGTGTGTCGGTGGGACGCGTCGAACAGCAGCCTGCCCGCACCAACCACATGTGCCATATGGCCGACCTGACTCAGAAATCAGTCACACCATGCAGAAGACAATGCAGATCTGGACAGTGCATCCCACAGGGGTGATCCATTCCACTGACGCCACCACAAGTGTAAAACACCGCCTGGAGCCACCAGGTGGCATATCAATACCTATTTTCCTCATGTGAGAATCCTATCACCCACACCACACTAGTCATGCTCACCCACCTGTGCCAGTACTCCCTGCTCTCAGACTCAAGCTTCCAGCCCTGCTGCTTGCGAGCCAGCCTCATGCGTTCCAGGTTGCGAGGGTTCTTGTTGATGAACACAGAAGGTGGCACTGCCGCAGCCCCTGTTGACCTGTTTCTAAGCTGAATGACCACCTGAGGTCCCAGCATTGTTCCAAACACTTGAGCAGACATGGCAGGGCCGCTGCAGGGCATCAGCTGAAGCAAAACAGCATCATCATAAGGCTGTGTGTAAATGAGATTAGGCAGGCATCAGGCTATGAAGCTCACACTGCTGTTATGCAAACCATTTGGGCCAGAGCTTGCCCAGGAGGGGCCCAACTTGGACATGAGGCCAGTTCAGCCAAGGCATTCCTACATTGTCACTGTGAGGGCTTCCTTTTCACATTCAGTTGACCTTTAAGGTTCAGGGTCCCATTGTGAGGTCTATTGATGTTTCAAGAGTGCACCATGATCTTAAACTGCCAAAGAGCATCAGGACTGTGCTTACTACTTCCATGGCCTACTTCACTGGGATGATGGTTAAAACTAAAAAAACCTTAAATGTGCCACTATTGACTGGTGATAATATCAAACTGCAAAAATCAAGTTCTGATGAATTAATTTTTTAATTATTGTTGCTGAGGTTTAATAATTAATTTACTGAGGAAAGTCACCAAATGACAGCATCTCCAACCTAGCCAGAAGCCACATGCACAATCTGACTTTCCACTTACAATAGTGGTACAAATGCCTGCCTGCCCCCTTAACTGACCTGAGCCATGTCATGAGACTATGCATGCTTCAAACAGCAAGCATGCACAACACAAGCCGGGGTAGCAGGCTAGATACCATTCGGTGGGGGGGGTCAATTTGAACCCCCGAGATGTTGGGGACTAAGCAAGCTAGGTACACCAAATTTGCAGGGTGCCTTGGCCTGTATGTGAGCTCACTTAGGTCAGAGTTTGAGCTTACTGGGTCATGACTGTCAAATAAGGTCAAATGAGGTCAAATTCTAGGTTGATCACTGAAGCGCCCCAGAACCTAGGAAACTGTTTCTTAGCAAAAGGTGAAAAGCCCACTTGAGGCTAGAGACCTTGATTGACCTTTTGAAGGTCATTGCGACCAAAATCATACAAGACTGCTCTGAGTTTTGCATCTCAACAAGTGACAAAGATTACACCAAGCAGTATGTTTATCAAACAAAATGTTGACCCTGGTCATCTTAGGTCAATGACCTTCTCTGGCCTATAAGAAGTCAATGGAAGGTGTATAATGCAGTTCACGCAGTCAATAAATTTGAAATGAGCACCACAAACTATCCCATACAGCAAGCCCTAGAGTAATAAATTAGGCTGGCTGTGACTTTGGTCTGACCTTTATACCTGACCCTGGATCAATGTAATTTGCTCACTTAATATTGGTAGTGCCTAAGAAAGCATATGAGAGATGTATGGCTTCATCAAACACTCTGTTATTGTGCCTTCGCTGAAACCAAAGCCTGACTTTGACCTGCCATAGGTCAGTAACCTTACAAGGTACATCTTAACTTTTATCTCAAATGATCCACTATTCAATTGTCTACATCTATGCAACATTTGGCACTGGCTATGAAGCGCCATTTGAAAGCCATTCCGGAAAAACCTTCTGGAGGTTAATTTGACCCCCCACCCAGCGGGTGATAAACGTTGGGCTCATGAGAAGTACACCATGACATGGATCAAATTACATAGTCAACAATTATATTGTGGAATGCCCTCTCAGCATAATTGATTGCTGGGCATCTGTGCATTATGTTCCCTTTGAAAATACTTTGAAGCATCGTGATACCTGAGTTTTGAATGCTTTGAGAATCTACACCACTAAAATAAAGCGGCGGAAAAGCAAAATTAAATGGGCAACCTGCTTAACTACGTACCTGTAGCAAATGACGCTTACACAACAGAGGCCTGGTGTAGCAATACGTGACACAATACTCGAATAGCGCGTTAGAAGTTGTACCACTTAAATTATTTACTCCCCCCTAACACCCTCACGCAAGTCACGCCCCCCGCACCCGCTCCGCATGCAAGCACCGTATTATTAGCGCTTTTATCACATGCTAAGGATGGTGAGAACCAAAGGCACTATACAAACCAAAAAAGACAATAAACCTATTTCAACAAAATACAGACAAAAAACACCAAAAAGCTACAAGGAAAACGAAAAATTTTGATGACGGGCGCAAATTTGTCCAGAAGCTCTCATATTTTTTTTCAAAATGCTTGACACGATCATCTTGTGCTAACGATCTTTAAAATTGCGCATAGACAGCAACAAACCTTATATAGTGTACCGACACACGAGGACCTGTTCAACTACGGAATTAATCGGTTGCCGTATGGCTAATTTGGGCCAACGAAATTCAATTAGAATATTGTAGAAAAAAGTTTTATCAAATTTGTTCTTTTGTTCTCCCCATTGGAGTTTAGGAGATGCGTGTGTCTCATCACAATATAAATATTGCATATGAATCCAATTTGACGAACAGCGCAGAAGGCAAATGCGGCGACTGTAATGTCAACATTGTGCAAGTTGTGGGTGGCACGTGTCGGTGCCAGGGGTGCGCGTGGGGGGCTGCAGCTTAAGTATTATTGTATTACCGCTAAACTCGTGCGTTTTGCTGCTGTGTGAGTGGCAAGGGAAAGCTTCAGATCTTACATCGACTTCTGGGAACGAATGTACGTGAAATGTTCGTTACTAACACCATGTCATTTGAAACCGACCGCCGCAATTGTCTACATTTTTATGTCCTGACGTATTGTGTCTGATTCGCTGCTTTTGCTCATGAACTGGGGATAATATTTTGGTATTGACCACCTTTACATTTGATTGGATAGTTCATGCACACTATTGCATGTTGAAAGCAGCTGTGTGATTTTAGGTTCATTCATTAATGGTGCCTCAGGTTGAAACAATCATGGCTGTATCTCATCTGGTTACTTGCCGTATTGTATAAGTGTGTGGTGTAGGAATAAGTAAACCTGTTCAAGTAAGCAGATTATTTGGGACTTATTGGAGATGGACCAATTTTTGTCACTCTTCCTGGCCCCTTAGCAATGACTTCATAATTAGAGCTCTGCCTAAACTGGCATGGCAATGTTGCCTTGGTGTCTTGTGGCATTCATGTCAGCTGAGGTCTCTTTGGAGATTGACACTGTCATGGTTGTTATCCAAGTAAGGATATACAAACCATTAACAAAGCAAGGTAGTGGTTATTTGCTTGCACTAACCTGATGCTTTTAGCAGCTGTTGCATTCCAAGGTCATTGATCTGGTTTGTAAGATGCAGTAGGGTGATGTTAGCTTTTAAGTGCAGAACTGATGTGGAAACTTTACCAATTTAGGATCTTGGAAAGTGTGGTGGCGATGCCATAAAATTTGGCTGGGTAGTGCTGTTTTGCACTTCAGCCAGACAGAAACAGATGATACTGTGATGTCAGGCCATATGTTTTTGGTAGAATAAGGTTGGTTGCTATTTAAAAATTGATTGAAGCTGATCTTGCTAGCTGTAGGCACACTCATGAGCATAACAAATATGCTCTTGCTTGTGGGAGACATCATAATCATGAGCAGGTATGAAATGTTCTGGTGCTTGGCTTGGGTTACATTGAAAATAGATGTTTTGCCTAGTAATATCCCTCTCAGAAAATGTAAGTATGTCATCTGGTAAGAAGTCAGTATAAGAGTGCTTGACTTGTGGATGTGTTTTAGAGATTTACTCTCAGTCCTGCTTTGTTTTGCTCTCATGTAGTTTGCAGGATATTTCAAATCCTTTTTTATGATGTATAGTTTATGAGCTAAAGTACAACAATAACTTCCTTAGAATGCAGGGATACAGTACAGGTTAAAACATGGTGCAGAACATAAGCTCACAGCTGGATCACCATGAATGCATAACCTTTGGGCTATGAGAGATTATCAGAATAAACATGGTATAAGTAATAGTAAAGCTGGTAATATAAACTTAAATAAAGGTGTGTGTGTTTATGTTGCCTTACACTGCCTTGCCGGATGTAGGATTTTTAAGATATCACAAATAGTACACATTTTTATCCAGTACATGGCCTTACACAGCTCACCTTTAAACTGCACTGCCTCAGTAGTGGTGTAAAAATCAAGATAGCCCACAAGTTGTTTTGCTGCCACCATCCATATCAGCATTGTATGTCTTCTAAACAGTGAAAATTTCACACCAACCAGTTTTCTCCAAATCATGGTGGTTGAAGTTCCAGTACCTTACAGGGATACCCCATCTCAAACTGATGATATTTGGTGCAAAGAAACTGAGAAGCTGACTTCTGTGTGGAGCAGCTGATAAGCAGTGCCGATATTCATTCTGCATTTGCTGCTGTGTAGCATGGACAGGCCAAGTCTGTGACATCTCTCTGAATAGGAGTGGTCCTGGCTGGCATGTCCCAGTGAGGACCAGGACCAGGCTAGGCCACTATTTTCCTGTCCTGACCCTTCCTCTTGACTGAAAATTTTTATTGAACTCACCCCTGACACCAGGAGCAGTTCTGTTGCACTAGTGCCCTGAATTCAATAGAAATCATTTTGCTCTCAAATGGTGAGACAGAACAAACACCTTGAAGCATTGCCTTGCCATCTCTGGCATTGCATTGTGGTGATGGACTTTGAAACCCATTGACATCAATCTCCTGGTTTCTGTATTACATTTGGCCAGTATCAGATACTTGTCCATAGCTCCTGGTTTCCATGTTTCTGCAGCTGTCAGCGATTCATAATTACTGGACCAATGTCCTGGGCTAAATTCCCTGTGGTGCCCCCCCCCCCCCTTCCTACCCAGGCAAGAGGCTGGCAGTGCCATAAGCTTCAACAGCTGAGAGTGTTATAGAGTCTTAATGACACATTGACACTAGAGCTTGGTTCCTGCCTCCCATTGGCTCTTTTCAGGACATTGGAGCCTGGTTTCTGGTGGTTTCCAGTAACTTTTAGATGCAGATTCCTTGCCCCCATTGATTTACTTCCAAGATACTGGGTCATGATTCTCATTGGCACACTGGTGAACACCCTGAATACTGATATTTTAGCCTGTCTGGCCGATTTGCCAAGCCAGAGGCACATGAATGCTGAGATGGCTGCTGTCTGACTGCTGCTCAGCTGATTCTGAGCAAGAGAATTAGCAGCCAGCAGTGAACCACAAGTGGGGGAGGGGCTGGACAGCATGAACAGGTGTTGACACTCCTTCCAATCAGGGCCCCGGCAGTTTTGCTCCAGCAAAAAAGGCTGTAGGCAAAACAGGCTATTGAGCTGGGGTGATGTATCTGGGTTAGGGGTACTGATGCTGCGTTTTTAATCACAAGTAGCATATGCAAAAGTAAGAGGACAATGTCCTGGGTCACAGAATTGTCTGATGTGAACTGCACTATTCAATGTTTGCTAGCCTTTTTAGGGTACCTTAAGGGAATAAGTCAGGTCATGGCTGTGAGCAGTGTTGCTCCAGTGAGTGAATATTCTAATGAGACTATAGTTTAAGAGAGGTAAAGAGATTAATATTCGATGGAATATGTCACATGGGATGCACTTTTTTATTTAAACTGCACTTCCGAGTGAGACAGCTGCCCGAACGGGTTTTAACGTGAGCTAACTGAGAATTGCATGACTCTAGCGCCCGAGCTATTTTTGTGAAGTGTGCGACGCACGCCGCTACACACATTGCTATTGAGCGCCAGGCCCAGCGCCCGCGCAGACCACGTTAGTACGCAGGGGCCGTGGGGAAATCGAGATTCGAACCGGGGCCCCACGTACAACAGGAGAATGCGTGTCGAAAGCTGATCCAGATGTCAACAGCTGGGTATCGCAGCAACATGAGGCCATCTTATGCTGACGGATATTGCAGACCCATACGTGCTCGTGCGCAAACCGTGGATCTGGCCGTCTTCGCAAGTGGTTAACGATTATGTAAGATTTCTGAAACCGGAGCAGGTGAAACCTGAAACACATCGTTAGACCCGGATCCCACCAATGTCACCGATTCCGGAAACGAATTTCGAAAATTCCGATGTGGAAGTGGCTGCAGTCCTAAAACGAGACATATTGGGCCGTGATTGTTACATAGGTGCATAGGCCAAGTTGTTTCGACCGGAATTCATCCAAGATATGTGTTTTTTTTCAATGCACTTGTCACAGTAACCAAAGCAAAGAAGTACAAATAAACTCAACATGTCAACCAAAATTGTCATGCTATGACATGACGACAGCCAGCCAATATTTAAACGGGGGGGGGGGGGGGTGGACCTCACTTGTCTATCCGTCATCACCAACTGAGTCTCCTGTTTCCAGCTGAGACGTCATGTCAGGCCGCCCTCTGCTGGTGCTGACGCTGCCGTTGCTGACGGTGCTGGCGATCTGCCTGTATCTGCGGCGGCGCGCTCGACACGAGGACGAGCCGCCCGAGCCGCCGCCCGACGAGTCGGCCGAGTCGGCCGAGCTGGCTGGCCAGGCGGACCAGGCGGACCAGGCCGAACAGCAGACGGAGCCGGCCGAGCAGGCCGAGCTGGCGGCCGCCCGTGACCTGGGTCAGGTCACTGCCTGGGTGCGCGACAACATCGAGACGCGGCCAGAGCCGGCGTCACCGGCCGGCGAGCGGCGACAGGCGGCCAAGGAGTCGGCGCGTGAGCCGGAGCCGGCACGGGAGCCGGAGCCGGAGCCGGCACGGGAGCCGGCCCACGAGACAGCGCAGGAGACGGCCCACGAAGCAGCACAGGAGCCGATACGCGAACAAGTCCAGGAGCCGGTGCAGGAGCCTGTCCAACTTTCCTGCCAACAGTCGGTACAGCATTCGGCCGCGCCGGCCAAGACGCAGGTCACGACTGTGACGGCGCCGAGGCCCCAGACACCTGAGCCTGTTGCGGAGGATGTGTGCGAAAAGATCACTGAGCGTGACACCGAGGCGCCCCCTCCGGCCGGGCCGGGGAGCCTGGGCCCGGGCGGCGATACACTCCAGCAGATCGAGGCTGCGGTCCGCCCGTCGGACGCGCCCGCGGACCCGGACTGCGTGGTGGGCGGCGCCCGGCCCAGACAGAGTGCGCCGGTCGAGGCGCCGGGCGAGTCGCTGCAGGCGTCGACGCCGGCGGCCGAGGCCGCAGAGGTGGACGCAGGGCAGCCGGCTGCAGCCGGGCCGGGCGTGGAGCCGGCGCCGGAGCCCACTCAAAACGGACACCAAGCCGAGACGGCGGCGGACAACGCCAGCGAGGTACGGTGAGACTGGCGGTTAGCGCCAGTGAGGTACGGCACCCGCCGAACCTTGGCTCCGACCTGTCTAGCGTAACTCGGTGAAGAGATCAGTCCCCCTGTGGTACTGAACTGGGCCAGAGCAGAGACCAGTTGACTGTTGTGCGCATGTGTAGGTGGGCTATCGTTTTGATACATAATTCGTGTATTCTGCCTTTTTTAATTTCGTGTTCTTTAACAATCCATAATTCGCGTATTTTTAATTGTATCCGCCAATTAAGATGGTCACCATGCATGACATATAATGTGATAATTATTTTAGCATGTATTTGAAAGCGGTAACCGGGCCTGATGGTGTGCGCAGAACTCGAGCGACAGCGGCAAGGGAGGCAGCTCTGCGAGCCTGGAGCACGCGTCACCTTCCAACACGCCCGAGGCGGCGGCGCCACTGCAGACCACTGTCTACGACTTCCTGATACCGCAGGCGAGTGAGGCGGGACGCGTCGGCCTCAGGAGACCGTGTGTGTGTGTGCGTGTGTGTGTGCGTATGCGTGTGCGTGTGCGTGGGTGTGGGTGTGGGTGGGTGGGCGCAAAATGACCGCAGTAGTCGGCGCGCCCTAAAACTCCAATCAACAACAAGAGACTGTGTGGTGGTGGGATCGTGCTATTCGCTGTCGATGTTGACTCGCCATTGTGCGTCTTCCGGCCGGTAATGGGGGCCCGTGCTTGCTTTCCGCCGGCTTGCTGGGCCCGCTGATCGGGTTTGATGACCGCAGAAACTGTGCGGTCGTCTGATCGGCAAGAACGGCACGTTCGTTAACCTGCTGAAGGCCAGGACGGGCGCCAACGTCATCATTCGGCTTCACCCGGTCAAGTCGTCCGTTAAGATATGTTCAGTCGACGGTGAGTGTTATACTGTCATCTCGCACAGCTCGCGGTTTGTTGTTGCGCGCGTGCGACTTCCCAGCGATGGCGGGAGAGACATGCGTACGTTGTTTGAAGCGTTCAGTAGGCTTACAGGGCAAGAAACGTGGCGTTGAGAGTAATGAGAACCATGGAATAATCCATGTATGTGTGCCGCATGAAGGCTTGTGGGAGTGAGGCGATGCATCAGGTGGCTTGCGTTCGTTAGCGTCGACACCATCGACAAGCGGCTACGGTCGGCTCCCCCGCAGTCCGGTGCGTTGATGACTGAATGGGAGGAGAAACAGGGCCACCCCCGGCCAGCCGGTTCATGACTGTACAGCGCGGCGTCACGCTGGGCCGCAGGTACCCAGCCGGAGATCGACGCCTGTCTGAAGATGATCCGCGAGAAGTTCCCGGTGGCCAAGTTTCCGACGATGACGCTGGAGCGGCTGAACCGGCCGGCCGAGCAGGCCCTGGCCGTGCCCGATAGCCAGCAGGTGGGTCCCCGACGCGCAGACGCCGCTCGTCGGCGACGGACGCCGGCGGGTCAGCTGACTGTCCATGCAGCGTTGCGTGGTCGGCACGAGCCGCCTGAGAAGGCGAAGCTTCGCCGGCCCGGTTAGGGCCCTGCGGTGTGGGTGTCGTCTCGCTCGTCGGATGATCGCGCCTCGCGCCCGTGGGCGATATGCTGTTCCGAGTTCACGTGCGCTGCGTGTGCGTGTATATGTGTGTGTGTGTGTGTGTGCGGGCGCAGGTGCACGTCTGACGATGGGTATGCCGGCGGGCCGGCAGCTGCACCTGCCGCAGGCGGTCACCTGCGACGTACTGGTGTCGGCGGTGGTGAGCGCCGGCCAGCTGGTGCTGCAGCAACACACGCACCCGACGTTCCGCGGCCTGGAGCGGCTCGGCGCGCTCATGAACGCCTGCTACGGCTCGGGCGAGACGACGCCCGAGCTGCCGCGGCCTGTGCTGGCCTCGTCCATCTGCGCGGCGCCCGTGGCCGGCGGCTGGTACCGCGCCCAGGCCGTCGCCTACTACCCGGACTCGGACGAGCTGGACGTGCGCTTCATGGACTACGGCGGCTACAGTCGGCTGGAGGCGTGCCACGTGCGCCAGATCCGCACCGACTTCATGTCGCTGCCCTTCCAGGCCGAGGAGTGTTACCTGGCCAACGTGATGCCGCTCACTGGTACGTACAGCGCGGCCGGCGCCGGCGTCCTGCTGGGAGGGGCAGCAGGCCGGGGGTCCGTGGTGTGCGTTGTGGACGGCCCAAAGTATTGGAGGTGTGTGAGGGTGCGGGTTAGAACAGGGAGGCTGCTCTCTGAGGCAAAACATTGTGTAAGGTTGCTCCAAATGCACGCTCGGGGAGGAGGTGGCAGTCACGTCGCGTTTGGGTTATTCTGCGACGCGTGCAACTGTCGTGATTTGCGAGTGTTATTCGTGACCTTGGGACCCACGCCTCGCCGGGTCCTGGGGACGCGGTCAACTCGTGACCTTGGCATGGACCTCAAACCGTGCGATACTCAGCGTTGCATCTGCAGGCACACCGGATCACGCGCTTTCACTGTATGGTTAGCGCGGTGGCGACGTTTGTGCCAGCCAGCCATTAGGCGGGTTGGCGGTTTGGTACGAGGGTGTGAAGAAATGGCTCCGCTGGGGCGTGATCGTTTGACTGCCTGCCGGCACTGTGTTCGTGACGGCACATCGGCTGCGGTGTGGCCCGCTGCCGGAGCGGCGACGGCGGCCGGTGACCCTGACCCCGGCCGGCTGCCGAAACGGCGGCGGCGGCCGGTGACCCTGACCCCGGCCGGCTGCCGGAGTGGCGGCGGTGGCCGGTGACCCTGACCCAGCCCGGCCGGCTGCCGGAGCGGCAGCGGCGGCCGGTGACCCTGGCCCCGGCCGACTGCCGGAGCGGCGACGGCGGCCGGTGACCCTGACCCAGCCCGGCCGGCTGCCGGAGCGGTGGTGGTGGCCGGTGACCCTGACCCAGCCCGGCCGGCTGTGCCGCAGACGACGGCTGGAGCGTGGAGGCCGGCGCCGTGCTGGAGAGTCTGATCGCCGACAGAGCGCTCGAGGCCATGGTGGTGGGCTACGCCGAGGACGGTACCCCGTTCGTCAACCTGTACACCATCCAGGTCACCGAGGTGAGCCTCCTGTCCGCCAGCCTGTGCACCAGCGGGCCCGGACTTTCGTGTAGGTAAAAGCCATAATTGGCGCCGTTTAAGGCGTGAAGCGCATGAGTCGGAAAATGCGTGGTGTTAGCGTCGCGTTTTCAATTTAAATTTCCTTCTTGCAATTAGTATGGTGCTGATTCCGATACAGATGGATTCGTAGTGCGCTATAAAAAGGCTAAGGTGCTATTTCGGGCCTGACTTGTGAGTCATAATGGAGGTTATTGAGGCGAACACTCGCCCGATTTCCAAACCATGCAGCGTCGGGCTAGACAGTGGCGTGTCAGGTACCCCGTTCGGCGTCGAAACAGTGGGCTTGTTATCGATCTCGTGAACAAAATGCCGAGTGACTCACGCGGCTGCGGTCGGCCTGTGACACCTGAGCGCGTTCGTGCAGGCACGTGTGAATGTGTGCTTGTAGTGGGGCCTGGCCGCTGTGTCGTGTCGTGTGAGGCCGGACGCCCGCTGGCGACCGGCGCTCGCGCTGCTGAGGCAGCTGGGTGTGTTGTGTGCCCGTGTCGCTGCTGCCGACCTGCCGCCGGAGCTCGGCCCGCCCGTCTGACGCCCGGCCCGCCCGTCTGACGCCCGGCCGCGTCTCTTTTTCAGTACGGCAACTCGGCTATCTCGCTGGTCAACCAGCAGCTGGTGGAGAGCGGCGCCGCGCGCTGGTTCGAGAACCAGGCGTAAGGCTGACCCCAGCCGGCCGGATAACATACCCCCCCCCCCCCCGCTCCCTCCCTCCCTCTCCCATCCCGTGTCCCGACATACCTATTTTCGATGTGCGCCCGTGTGCGGAGCCGACTGTGCGGCCGGTGCCGCCTGCGCGCGCTGCAGCCGCTCGTGAACATGGTCCTTGGCTGTGGGTCTGGCTGGTGGGGACGCGGCGGCGGCGGGACGCGCCAGCCGCGCCGCTGGCGCGTCCGCGCGCCCCGCCTACCATAAACCTCTTCGTATCTTATCTGTTGTCCGTGATAGAGTTGCGACGTCCCCGAGTGCGCGGCCGGGTCTTGGGCCGGCGCTGGATCTTGGGCGCGGCGCTGGATGTTAGACGCGGCGCCCCCCACGGCAGGTGTTTTGTCAGGCTGGTGTTGTGATGGCTTACGCGTAGCGTGTGCAGATATTTAGCGGACGGTCGGTCGTCGTGTTGCGCGTCGCAGGGGTCCTGGCGTTTGGAGGTGGTAGGCCAGGGCTCGCTTTGCATTCTCGGAAGTTAAGTTGTGAAGCAAAATGCCTCCAACGGGTACCTTGGCAAGAGGGTACCTTTTGCTGGAGTTTTCAAGCATAGCTGGCTTACGTTGGTGGGCCAATGATGCGTGTGAATGTCATTGGGTATATTTTATTGGCAACGAAGAGTTCTTCGAGCGATGGATTTTTGAAATGCGAGACTGCCTAGTGGTTTCATAATCCTTTTTCTTCTGTCGCCTTAAAGGCGGTGGCTTTTACCTTGGATCCATCGAAACAAAGACAAATACGCAGGCCGCTTCTGTCGTATAAGCCGGAGTTGCTTTTTCATCTATCCTTACGTAAACCAGGCGTCCCAATCCCCGATAGGCCTTTGACCTCCTTTAGAGCCAAAGACATCCATGTAGGTGAAACAGTAGAAATGCCGCGTGCCGGCCCGACGTCTGCGCCTGGGAAGAGTAGCGTGCTGCCGACGGCGGGAGGCGGGCCAGCCTGACTGGCGAAGGGTCGGCACGGGTACGGTGAGAGGCCCGGCAGCCAAGAATAGTGTATAGTGGCGGGGTATGGGCCGCGTGGTTAGGGCGGGTGACTGTAGTCCATACGGCGGCCGGGGTCTTCATAGTGGCCACCGCGTAGTCCGGTTCGGTAGCTGGTTGTGGCCGCGTAGTTGGCTGGGGTTTGGCGTCTCCGGTGTCCGTCGACTCTCCCCGGCAGGAGGATGTTTTTTTTTTTCGTTTTCCATTTCTTAACTTGTGTGATCGCGGAGCGGAGTCGGCCGCCTGTAACGACCTGCCGATAATCTTTGTATTGCAATCGCTGCGCGTGCGAATGCACGATAGAGCCATTTGCGGTGTTGATGCTCACTAACTGTGAATAGGGCCACGATTAAACATTCGGTGACCGCATGCACCGCGGAGCAGGGCGCGGCGGTGAGTGGTGACGTGAGGGCGCCGCGCTGCCGGCTGGTGGACCCGACATTGCGCTCCGCGTGCGGGCGCGGCCTCGACAGCCGACCCGTGGGGCACGCTGCCAGTGCAGCCGTGCCAGCGCGGACAACTGCGGGCCTGTACAAAACCGCGTACTGTTGGTGCCCTCAGGCACATTGTCGCACCCTGACTCGTGCAAAAAGCGCATCGAAGCGCGCGCCGGCCGGTGTCGGCCGCGTGAGGACCCAGCTCCAGCACTGGCCGGCACCGGACGCCGCGCAGTAAAGGGATCATCGACCGCCTCCAGTTCACCTTCGCCGTGTGTAGCCGGCCCGCCGAGCCAACGCATGACTCGCTGTACGTTCGTGCCCGCGGTCAATACACTCTTTCCGACGGTCGTTCTCTGCACTCCGGCCAGCCCGCGACTCGGTGAAAGGTGGCCCGGCGTCGCCGCGCGGTCGTCTAGGACCGGTCGGGCCGGTGGCGAAACAGTTTGTCGCCCAGCCTTGCCGCCGTCGCCGCACGGACCAAGAGGGGCGGGCCTGGGAGACAGCGCCGCCCGGCTGCTGTTGTGTAACGGGGTCCGGCGCGGCTGGTGTCGAGTCCGCGTCACGCCTGCTCTGCGGCCGAGGCATGCTCGTTGCACCGGCGCCGGCCACTCCGGGCAGCGCGTGTCGCGTAGGGATGCGCACGGCCCGGCGGGCGCCGCGAGCCCCGGCCTCACGCTGGCACCGGGCGAGATTGTCCCGCCCAGGCTCGCGTCGCCGGTTAACTCGGGCGTGGCGGTCCGGGGGAGGCGCTCGGCTGTGGACAGGGCTGGCAGAGTCGCGGCCGTGACCCCACACGGGTGAAAGTGGTGTGGTCAAGACGTACACGTCAGAATGGTCTCTAAGGGCAGCGCTGTGGAATCCCACGATTGGGAGAAAAGGTAGACAAAAATATCGTCAGATTGAAAATGTTCAAGACAATCCGCCTCACGGACGGGGCCGAAAGCCTACATACGCAGTTCTGAGCATTTCAGTATCTTTTTTTGGGGGGGAGGGGGGGGGGGGTTTATTGTCAATTGATCTGTGCGTCTGGGCATACTGAAGGTAGAGTACTGCCACCGTGATGTCATCGCTCCACTACCGTCAAGCACCGCCGAATGACGCCAGGATTGTTTTTCATTGCTGGCGCGGATCGGTGGCGATGCCGCAGTGCCGCTGTATTAATATAGTATTCCTACACATCACGGGACGTGACATGGTCATTTCATACGACAATAACAATCCCTATTCTCTACTGGGTACACCTGAAGCCAGCCGGTATTCTGCAGAAAATCAAGAGAAGATGCCAATCGATCGGCGCCGCAGTCGGCGCGCGGGCCAACAGGACTACCGACTACAGGCTGCCGTTGAGCGGTCCCGTTACTACGCCACAGCGCCGGCGGGCTCCCGTCGAATCTCGAGCCCCCGGCGCCGGCGACCCGCCCGTCCCGGCCAACGCGCCCCGGGGCCGCCGTAACTGAACGCCTGCCGCCGCCTCAGCCCTGAGCCGGTCGCCGGCGGGCCGCGATTATATGCCCTGACCACGACCTGATCATCTGGCCGTGATCAGGCCGTGACCTGGCCATGACCTGGTTGTGACCAGGTCTTGACCTGACCGTGGGCTGGCCGTGGCCTGGTCGCGACCTGATCATGACCAGGCCGTGATCAAACCGCGACCTGACCATGACCAGGTCGTGATCAGGCCGTGACCTGGTCGTGACCGGGTCGCGACCTGACCGTGACCTGACCTTGACCAGGCCGCGACCTGGCCTGACAGTCTCGGCCGGGACCTGCCCTCCGCACGTCTAGGCGGCCCGCCACCTAGCTCCACACGTCCTCCGAGTAGCGCTTCTGCGAACGCATCGTCTTGATGTACTTGTCGGCCTCGTCCTGGCTCATGCCGCCGCGTTCCCGGCAGATCTCCGTCAGCAGGTGGTTGACATCGCGCGCCATGCTCTTGGCGTCGCCGCAGACGTACACGTTGCCGTGCTGCTCGCCCAGGATTCGCCACACGTCGGCGGCGTGCTCGCGCAGGTGGTGCGTCACGTACACCTTGTGCTCCTGGTCCCGGGAGAAGGCCACCGACAGCTGGCGGACAGGCACGGCGAGTGTCACCGGCCGACGCAGGCGCCGCGCGCGAGGCCCGCGTCACTGACCGGGGCCACTCACGCTGGTCTGGCATGTCGCAGCCCATTGGCCGCGGTACCACAAACCCACCGGGCAAACATTGACCGTCACATTGTGCTGTCACGGATACGGGAATTACGCCCAGCGAAAACGGATGAGCTATGTAAGTCCGAGGTCGTGACAGGCCATGATTAGTGCACGTCCTTAGTTTCGCTGTTCGACCTCCAAGCTGCCACGTAGAGGTTCTGGGAGGCTGGTGCCATGGAACAGCGCTTACGTCAGTACTACTATACCTCAGTAGCCTTGACATGCACAGGACACGGTAAGGGGGGCGGTAGCGGTTTAGTGGTTAGGACGGCTCGACCCCGGGCCTGCCGGTCTCCGGCTCCGACCCCTGCCACACCCGCGTACCCGCGTGGCACGTCATACAAGGACCCGTCCCCAAATGCCCCCGGCGGTTGGTGGTCCGTAAAGCCCAAGCGTTACAACACAGTGACAGCACTTCCGGGTGGGGCCATGTTACGCCGTTAGCTGACCAATGAACCGCATGTCTGCCAACCGAGGTGTTTATCGGAGGCTGCAACTGAAAACCCCTCAAAGCAGTATTGCATGACAGCAGCTGTTTATCCATTAAAGGGGACGGTCAGACCACCGCGCTAGAGACCTTGATCACACCGTCCGCTTCAAACTGTTGCAGCTCTTCCTCGTAAATGTAGTCCTCGGCTTTGTGGCGGCATCCATAGAACATCCACGTCTCTCCGACCTGAAACAGTCCAACGTCCGTCTGAGCGTCGGGGAAAGGTCAGAATGGCAGTTGCACCTGCCGGTAAATACGTGCGCGGCATCCAACATATCTTGTAACAACAAAAACGCATGCACGCCCAGTGCTAGAGCAGATATTCATGAGCTTCGTGAGCGCAGCTGAGAGGGAATGATCGCGATGATCATTTGTTCGTGTGGATACGGGATTACACGACGGCATTATCATTGATCACTGCTTACCGTACATGCTGGTAAATGTACTCATCCCACCTCTAGCTCAAATGTCGGAACCACTGATTAAGTAATGACCAATTATCCAGTAGAACTCCACAAAGGAACGAGAATCTTGACACAATCCTACGCAGAGCCACACCCGACCGACATTTGTGCAGAGCTCGGCGACGTTAGCTCCACATACCTCTTTGCCTTGTTGTTTTTGGAAGGCCCTCTCCTGAATGAAGCCGCGCATCGGGGCGAAGCCAGTGCCGGGTCCGATCAAGATCACCGGCGTCTGGGAGCGAGACGGCAGCCTGGCGGGGGGCGGGGCACGGTTAGCGGCCGCCGCCTCCAGCGCGGGCCCCGGACGGGCCGGCCCGCCGGCGTTCCGGCGCTCCGACGTGCGGCGCCTGGACGGGGCGCGCCATGCGACCGCCGCCGGTCACCGGGCAGTGGAGAGACGGCGCCGGCTGCCGTCGCGACTCGGCGCCGCCGTGACGTCAGAGGTGGACACCCGACTCACAGAAGCGCCCGACTCCCAGCCCCATCTGTCGGTATTTCCCTTCCGCACGACACCACGCCCGCCGTGCGCGCCCCATTACCCCCTCCCCCCGGACGCCCGCCCGCCGGCGCTCGGGGCGCACCTGAACTGTGACTTGCGCACGAAGCAGGGCACGCGCACGTCCCGGGGCAGCGGCGCCTCGTCGTTCAGCGGCTGGTCGCTCGTCTTGTGGTTCAGCAGCCAAGTGGTAGCCACGCCCAGGTTGGTGCGGCCCGTGCTGGTGGCGTAGCGCACCTGCACGCACGTCACGTGGATCCGCGTCGGGTGCACCTGTCGGCGAGACGGCGGGCGCCGGTGAGGGCCGGCCGAGGTGGCGGCAGAGCGGCGGCCGGCGGGGCACGCACGCAGCAGGGATGGAGCACAGCACGGACACGCCGGCGGAGGTCCACGGCGGGTCGACAGCGCCTCCGCAACCACCACCTCCCGAAGCCGGGTCGGAATCGGGACACGATAAGTCTTTAGCACCAGTCTATGTCGTACACCAAGGCCTCAGCGCCTAACGGTGGGATTCCGCGCCTCTGCCTGCCGCCGCCGCGGACGCTGCTGGCGAGGCAGCCTGGGCGGGCGACGAGCGGCGCACCTTGGAGCTGGAGGAGATGGAGTAGTAGCGCGGCTGCAGCCGGTTCAGCAGCTCGCAGAGCAGGTCCAGCGGCGGCCGGCAGGACGGCATGTCCTCCAGCAGGTGGGCCAGCGTCCGGCACGGGTTGACCATCCAGTCATGGTAGGCGGCCTTACCCTCCTCCGACGAGGACGACATCAGCAGCAGCCGCTCCCGCTCCTGGCCACGGGCGAACGCGTCAGGCACCATCCGGGGACAGCCGGCCACTGACCAGACACGGCCGGCGGCAGCCCGGCCACAGACAGTCCGCCGCTGACTACACAGGGCCGGCGGCAGACACGGCGGACACGGCCGCAGACAGTCCGCCGCTGGCCAGACAGGGCCGGCGGCAGACACGGTGGATAAGACTACGGACAGTCCGCCGCCGACAAGACAGGGCGGGCGACAGACACGGCAGACCGGCTACAGACAGTCTGTCGCTGGCCAGACACATCACAGCCAGTCGGCCACGGAGCATACATTGCAGACACGTCCCACACAAGGTCGGCCAGAGACCACGCCAACCCAACGACAGTCCAGACCAGACAGACCAAACGCGCCCGACCAGTCGGTTCACCTCGGGGTCCGTGACGTAGTCGGCGATCTCCTTCAAGACGAAGTGTTTAGGCACGCTGGTGATGTCTAGGTAGTGGAGCAGCGCCGTGCGGTAGGTGGTCGGACACGGGAACGGGTGCTTCTTGGCCGTGTCCGCTGCGGGGGAGGGGGGGGGCAACAGGTCAGCGACGCCATACGACAGACGGCACCTGGACGCCAGCAGGCGTACAGAGAACCCTCACTGGTCTGCAGGCTATGCTTGGGACAGACTCGGCTATAGTGTGATCTGAATGTGTCCGGACACTGTTCCTCCCTCTCTCGAGGCCCACAACGGTCTCACCACAGTGTTGCAATTGTCCACAGGCGTCGCTCGCCGGCTACCAACGTACGGTCAATGGCATCGAGCGAGAAGATCGTGTCCAGGTTGACGTTGAACAGCTGGCCAAGCTTCTCGACCAATGCCGGGTCGTTGGTGGGGTAGACTGCCACGTGGTCGCCTGAAACAGGAACAGTGTTCCGGTGGCCTAGTCTCGAGGGTTGCTTACAGAAGGCAGGAAGGCGCAGGAGTCTTCAAGCTTGCCAACAGTATTGTTCAGGTCACCGAAGTAGTTGCTGTTCCATAATGATACAGGTGATAGCCATCAAGCATCTTCTGTGCACTAAGTAACAAGCTCAGAAACAAAGCCAACCAGCCCACCAGCATCTAAGGCTGTGAGTGACAACCACAGAGGACTGTTTATGACCGGAACACAACGCCCTGCTAGCGTCGCCTTCGGCGTCCCACAGCGTCCTGTCAGCACCACCAGCACCACCAAAGGGCCCTCTCAGCACCGCCAGGAGCGTACCACAGCGCCCTCTCAGCACCGACAGAGACGTCTCACAGCGCCGTCAGCACTACCAGGGCGCCCCACAGCGCCCTCTCAGCACCCTGCGAACAGGGCCAGCGCCCCGCCCGTCTGCTCTCACCGGCCTCGTATCGGATGCGCGACCCCTCAATGTCCAGCTCGAGGTGCATGAGCTCGCGGTCGCCGCCGCGCTGCAGCCGCCGGCTGGCGCGCAGCGGCGCCAGGTACGGATTCTTGGCGTCGAACGGCCTGGGGAGCGAGGGCGTCAGGTCAGCCGCCGCGCGCGCACGCGGCCTCACAGGGACGCGGCCCGGTGCCACGACGGCGCCGCTGTGCTCATCACTGACGAGACGTTACGGGACGGTGCGATCCGCACAGGCGACAAGCTCGTGTGGACGCGTCCACAGGGAACACAGACACGACCGTCCAGAGGCCGCAGACGCGTCCAGACGAAACAGACGCGTCCACTCCGACGACATAGCCACGTCCACTCACGGCCGCTGCTTGGTGTAGGACCGCAGACGGGCCACCTCGCCGCTGAAGATATCGTTGTGGTTGATGTCTTCTAGGACCTTGAGCTCGTACTGACGCTTCTCTTCCTCGCCGGAGTCCTCGATGCCCAAATATTCCTTGACGTGCGGGAACATGCGCTCCTTCCACGACAAAAAGTCCTCCTCAATGCTGTCAAAACATTACCAGTTGTAATTTACACGCGGCGTGTCTCGCAAATCAAGAACGAGTCTATTTCAGGTCACTTCATCTATAGCAACGCAGAAAATGACGCCCTGATCAACATCTGGTAGCACATTGCCAGAGCGTGATGATCGGGATTCTGCGATAACATACTCCCCCAAACGTCTGGCTGAGTGCTCAAGGTACTAAGGCATAGCAACTGATAAGAGCGTTTCTTAACGCCCATAATTAACCTTACGATTTTTTCAACCGCAAGAGATGTCACTTTCGACTGCATTTTCAGTTCAGCCTTCTGTTCACACGGAAACAGGGCCTTACGAGACGAGCCATCCGCGTGGCCATGGTAACCAATACCACGGAACAGCCTACACCACAGCAGCTCGACGACAGCGTCCATTACGCAGGACGTAGTGACAACACGCCGATGTGGCGTGATCGAGGGCAAACTTTGTTCAGTGTACAGGCACACGAAAGAATCAGACAGCGTTATTTTCAACTCAACGAGCGCTAATGGGCGGTGAACAGAGCGGAAAATACACAAAACAAAGCAAAACGAAAATGCAAGCTCGGTATGCTCAGGTCCAAACGTATGCAAACGCACGATCCCGTCATGTAGAGGGGGTGAACAAACTTGATCGATGGCTTTCCAACATACCCCCCCCCCCCCCTCTCATTCCCAGCCCAAACACGGCTTCCGACCAGTTCCGACACACGTGGCGCCGTCCGACGGCGCGCGCAGGGCGGGCCGGTCGGCCTGGCGGCGGCGGCGGCCGGCACGGTTCTCACTTGGCGTCGTCGTCGCCGAGTCCCAGCTCGAACACGCGGACCGCGCCCAGCTCCTCCAAGCGCTTGTCTACGTATTTGCCCATGGCGTTATAGTGCTCATACGTTTTGTTCCCTAAACCGAACACCTGCGGCACATAAACAACCTCCGATCAGCAGGGCCTGGGCGGGCGCGTTGCCGCTACCCAACTACGGCTTCTCTAAACTAAGCGTCTACTAAAAAGGTATCAGCAGCTGGCGAGATCAGGAGAGCTAATCCAACGTCGAGCAAACTTAGCGCAAACAGCAAAGCTTTAGCGCAAACAGCAAAGCATCACTTCCCAAATCACGCGAGCGTAGCGCCGTGGGAGCGTGGCTCGAGGGGAGCGTCGTCGCTCCACGCACCGTGTAATTGACGCCGGCCATGTCGACATCCGCGTCCTTGAGCCACTCGAAGAACTCCTGGGCATTGTCGGACGGGTCGCCCTCGCCGTAGGTGGCCAGCACGAACACGGCCAGGTGGTCGGGTACCTCGGTGAGCCGCGGCAGGTCCTGCATACTGCACTCTTCCGGGTCGGCTACCAGACCGCGCATGCCTGCGGCGGCGGGCCGGTGTTCAGTGGATGGCGGTGACCGGCGCGCGCGGCACACCACCGACGCCGCCGCGCTGCCGAAGCACGCGGCGGCGCCGGTACAGCGTCGCCGCAGACATCCGCGCACGCGTGGCCCCGCCGTTCGGCAGAGTACATAACAACCTAAGACAGCCTCCTCAACCTCAGAAAGTACCGGTGTGAGCAAGAGGCCAGCTTTTGCCGGCGACGCTCAGCCGGTCGCTACGATCCACATCTGTAGACCCCGTACCGAAATGAACAGATACAGCCATTCGAGCACAACTAAGAGCAGTGTGCTAAAAAGTAGCATGTTCATGAATCACAGCAGTATTTCAAAAGCTACACGATGCGATAAGCGTACTCGGGTTCGACTGCTGTTCAGTGCCGAATAGCGGTAAGAATTGTACTTTCCGGGCACGTCGGCTACCGGGGCAATAATGCGGTACTGCTATCCAAAGGCAAACGACCTCAGCGTCATCAGGTAAATAGCTCAGGAGGAGCATTTCTAAGCCTCAGCGGACTACATACGCCAATGTGCTTGGAAAAATGAACACATTTTGATTCTACATTTCCCAATTTTGGAATACATCACAAGATGCAGTGCTTTCCGATGCATCGAACGATATAACTAACCCCACTTCCGAAAAATGTCCCATGTTTTTTTTTAACCTTTGGACGACAGACTAGGAAAGAACGGCCAAACCCGCAACGTCTATAGCAAACTTTTGCCGTTCCCGTCTCTACTCTGAGCATAATGCAACGGTTCCAAGTAATCCGGAGATGCTCCATTACCCGCCTGCACATTTGACACGGCAATAATCCTCAGCCAGTCCCGACATGGCTGAACTATTTGCAGCACCACAGCGTCACTGATGCCATTCGCCGTGTCGGCACCGACAAGGTCAGTCCGGCATCAAGTGGTCGCCTCTCGGTCCACCACCCACGTACATTCCTAGTCTACCCCAAAGACGCCCAGAGTGTGACGGAGGCTAGGACTGCACCTGGAACGTGGTCGGGGCGGAGAGGTTCTCAATGAGTACGGGCATGGGAGTGATAGTTATATCGAGTTTGGGCCGCAGGTTTGAGGAGACAGCATGCCCTGTATCCGAAATTTAATTTCTCGCCACACGTCGCTAACTTTGGCATTTAAAAAGAGTTAAGCTTGAGACTTCACGTTTCACTTTTTTGTCAAACGGTCGGAAAGTTGGAAGTGACTCAAATGTATTACGGGATCCTCACATAAAATGCTCATACACCACCTAAAATGTTGGGGGCGTCCCCAGTGGCCCTGCCCCCCCCCCCCCTACCTCCCCTTATTTCCGCGGTACTGAGCGTGGGGCACATATAGCTATCGGGCTCTTCCCACGGAATCTCTTAAGAAGAAGCATACCAGCACATATATCATAGCCAGCTGTTCCAAGACGGGGATGGTGAGCATCTAAGAAGTTGCCGTTTACACCTATCTTTTGACTATATCTCTCAATACCTATTCTTACTATATTTTTTAACCTATCTTTTACTACATCTCTCAATACCTATTTGACTACATCTCTCAAATAGGGGGACAGACACTCTCGGCCAAATCGCAGACGACTGGTCCCGTTCCCTGCTCTCTCCCAGCGCAACTGAACTCCCGCCACAACACCTCCTCAGCGACGCTCCTTCGACGGCCGTCATACCACCGCGCGCGCAGCTGAACACGACACCGACCGCGTTTCATTGCCTCGCTTCCGGCGTTCGCTTGGCCGGCCTGCAGCCGGGCACGCCTGCTCGGCGCACCGGCCGGAGAGCTGTGCGCGCTCTCACCGTATCGGCGGCACTCCTTAGAGATGCGCGTGCTGAACTCCTCGGCAGTGCCCGTCTGGCTGCCGTACACCACCAGCACGTTTTTGCCAGAGGTCTTCATCTTGTCGATGAAGGAGTCCTCGGTCGTGGCCAGTGGCATGGAGCTGGCTCTGTAGCAGACAGTCAGCAGGGCCAGGTCAAACCTCTAGGCCAAAGACCAGACCTCCAGGTCACAGTCAGACCAAGGCAGTCCTCAAGGTCAGAGATCAGGTCAGACCTCCAGGTCACAACCAGACCCCCAGGTTACAGTCAGATCAGGGCAGGCCTCCAGGCCACAGACCAGGTCAGTCCTCTAGGTCACAGACCAGACCAGACCTCCAGGTCACAGTCAGACCAGGGCAGACCTCCGGGTCACAGACCAGACCAGATCTCCAGGTCACAGTCAGACCAAGACAGTCCTCAAGGTCAGAGATCAGGTCAGGCCTCCAGATCACAACCAGACCCCCAGATTACAGTCAGATCAGGGCAGGCCTCCAGGTCACAGACCAGGTCAGTCCTCTAGGTCACAGACCAGACCAGACCTCCAGGTCACAGTCAGATCAGGGCAGACCTCCAAGCCACAGACCAGGTCAGTCCTCTAGGTCACAGACCAGACCAGACCTCCAGGTCACAGTCAGACCAGGGCAGACCTCCGGGTCACAGACCAGACCAGACCTCCGGGTTACAGTCAGATCAGGGCAGGCCTCCAAGCCACAGACCAGGTCAGTCCTCTAGGTCCATCTCCAGGTCACAGTCAGACCAGGTCAGATCTCCAAGGCCCCGTCATCAGGAGCGACGGCACAATCCACAAAGACAGATGTCAGCCGCAGCGGTGCACAGTTGCGAAATCGCTCCTTAGAGCGACAGCACGCAATTCCGATAGAATCAGCGGCCTGTTGGTAGCGGCAACAAAGTCCCACAGTGACCACGGAGGAAACTCATAGTTTCGAAAGAGATAGCTGCCGGACGGGGCACCACAGCTCTTAAGGACGCAGCGAACAACGTGACGAAACATCACTCTGACAGCGCTATTGGCGGCAAGGCATAATCCTAACTGGGACGGTGGTCCGCAATACAGCGTTCGGTGAAATGCCATGACCAGGACAGTAACACAGCTCCGAAAGAGACAGTGGTCAGCGACGGCAATACGAAGTTCGTCAGCAGCAGCGGTCCGGGCGGCAGTACACAGCTCCGTCACAGACAGCAGCAGCAGCAGTACACAGCTCCGTCACAGACAGCAGCAGCAGCAGTACACAGCTCCGTCACAGACAGCGGCGGCAGCAGTACACAGCTCCGTCACGGACAGCAGCAGCAGCAGTACACAGCTCCGTCACAGACAGCAGCGGCAGCAGTACACAGCTCCGTCACGGACAGCAGCGGCAGCAGTACACAGCTCCGCCACAGACAGCGGCGGCAGCACATGCTCCCCACAACCCGAGGCAGTTCGGAAACGGTCGAGAAACGCCCGCCAGTCCCGACGCCCGGCACCACGCCAGCAGACTCACTTTTGAGAGACGACTGCAGCCATGGACGCAGCACGGACACCGCGACACAGAGCTGCCACCGAGGCGGGGGTCGCCGGCGGCAAGAGGACAGTGCTGCACCGGCGCCGGCGCTCGCGCCTTTATAGCGAGCGCCGCCCGGCGGGCGTAACAGGAGCACGCGACGCGCCGCCGACCCGGTCGTTGGCGCCCGGCCGTGACGGGGTGGTTCGGTCATCAAGGGCGGACCTGGTGACCCAGCCGAACGCGACCGGCTGCACACCATGCCCCCTTCCCCACCCCCACCCCAGCCGGGCGGACGGGCGCCATCCTACCCTAACTAGTGTACACATCTCACGCCAGGGTCACGGCAACTACGGTTTGACTTCAGGGTCCATTCAGGTATCACCACTACCACAGAAACAGGCAGACGACTTCATCCTGCCATTTACCGACAGCTTCGGCACTCCGCCGCGGGCCTCTATCTATAGCTTATGCTCCATTTACAATGTGCTTCCTATTGCGCTTCATGTTACATTGCGATTCACACAGCAACAGTGGCCGCTACTCACGTGATGGTGAACGTTTGCATCGAAGCTTGTTCTTCTTGCTTTTTCCGATTCCTCAGGATCAGGTAGTAGACGGCCGCCAGCGCCAGAGAGGCCAGCACCACCAGGTCGAGCGTGGAGAACATGGCCTCGGCGCCACCGGCGCTGGCCGTGTGCACCGTCTCCGCCTCCTCAGTCATCACCGGCTGGCTGTCCGCCATTGCTGAAATGGACAGAAAAACGTGCACTTTGTTAAGCGAATGCCTTCAGAAATGAATGCATGTTAACACCATGCTTCTGTTGGAAGAGGAACCTGAGATACTTTTGAAGGAGTTTGGACATGGAGCAAACTCATTGAATGGAACGAAATGACCTTACTTTAGTCACTGCTGACATGGATTAGTGGGACTCACAAGCAGACATTATCAATGGTAGGAGGAAACAGTTATGAGAGATCAGGAGTGTTTAATGATACAGCCATACACCACTGCATGATATTCTGTTTTCAAAGCAGCATTCACCTGAAAAGTACTAAGTTAACCTGATCCAAGGATTGAAGCATGATATTCATAGAAGAAAAGCTTTACCTAGGATAAGATTTATACTGCTCACTGACAAAAGGCACAAAAATCTTTCTAAAAAAAAACAACTTTTTCACATCATTGATTTCTTTTTTACCAAGAGAGCAAAACATTTCACCGGTGAATATTACACCTGGCAGACAAGTTTTGATCCCATTTTTCATAGAACATAGAAAGACCACTGTGCATCTGAATCCGTCTTTTCCAATACCAAACAACCCAAGAACACCTCAAATGTTCCCACTTGCATTTTACCTCCACCTGCAATGCTATCAACAAAACAGCCTTATAATAAAGGTGCCATTTTTACAAAAAAAACAATCTGAACCTTTTGAATGGGTGGATTTCTGAGATCCGAGCCAACATTAAGCACTCGTTGTGAGCCTGGCTCCTAACATCCGATCGTACAATTTCAGGTCAATGGCATAATTTAATGCCAGTTTAACATGCTGCAATACTCAGTACTGGTCTGTCCTGTCCTCTAACATCATCTGACTGGGCAGCCAGTGCTGCCAGCTGCAGGTCATGCCTGTCAAGGTCAAATAGTGAGTGTCTTAAGTGACTAACCCAACGTCATGGGTGGGTGGATTGGAAGGCATGCACTCTGACCAATTGAGCCATTGGGGAAATGAACTGAGCTACCAGGAAAAACAACTGAGCCATCAGGAGCCATTATGAGCCATTCTGTGGCACTAAGCTCTGATTGGGCATGTGTTAAGCCAGCAATTCTGCAAACTCACTGCACACAAGTAGGGAAAATGCTACTACTTTATAACCAGATAAACTGGGTGATGCAATGCCAAACTTTCCACATTTTGACCTTCAAACTACCTATTGGAAAGCTTAATTCCTAGGACAAAAGCTGCTACTTTACCAATTGCTTTATGGCATCAACAACAGACCAAATGAAAATAAAATAGATTACCTCAAACATGATACACATGAATATTTGATGCTCCAGGGTGGGAAGTACTTTGGTGACAAAATATCAAAGCATAAATCCTAGTTATGGCTTGGGTACCCAATTTTGTAGTATTTTTTAGTTTAGGTAGTTATTGATTGGGTTTTAATGGCAAGCCAGCTGCACTGGTCATATGCACCCCTGCAGTACTATGTAGCTAAAGATAAGGCAGATTTAAATGTTGGTGATGGTGCACCTGTATCCACACAATATGGAGATGCTATATGTCATGTGCACTTCTGAAATGGATATGATCTTCAGGTTTACAAATCAGCTCTCTTCATCTACTTTTTTGCATTAATTCATTGTAGTAAGCAAGAATTGAGAAACTAATGCAAAACACCTCACAAACCATATCATACCTTACCTATATACATGTACACCACCTTGCATGTCCCAAAAATCCATACTTATCATCCAATCCCTGAACCTTGATCACATCCCATTTAAGTAAACTCACCAACATTAGCATGGCCTGTCAATTGGTAGTAACTTAAGTTGTCACTTTTGCATCTGCAGGCTGTCAAAGCATATCTTATATACCTGCAATAATTTTAGTGAACATTGCTGGCAGGCAAGTGATGGGATTCAACAGACTTTTATAATAAGGCATTTCATAAATTAGTACCAATAAGATCCTAATAATATTGTATACCTGGTCACAACTTGGTCATCAAAAGATGATCTTTCCATGACTTGCTTATCAAAAGTCTACTTTTACCAAGAGTTTGGTGCACTACACAAATTTATTAATTACTACATCAGTCAAAATCTACAGCTCAGAAAATAGGCATGTTGACACCCTTATCAGGCCAATAACATTTTGATTTGGTATAAACTCTCAACAAAATACATGCCTTCCACTCAAAAGATGAAGGCAAAGTGATTTAGAAAGGTAATTTGCTCTATGCAGCAGAGCAAAACCCAAGCATGAGGTGCTGAACAACAACTCCTTTAAACTCATAATGGCAAACAATGGTCTGGGTAATTAAACACACTTCATTAAAAACAGCATATAACACCCAATAAACCTGGCTAGATAACAAGACTGGCAGCCTTGGCTCACATGTCACATTCAGCACCTCAATTGTGCCAATCAGGATTAAAAAGGCAGGTATCAAACAACCAGATGAGTTTAAAGTCAGCTCCAAGCTTTAACACCTGCTTAGAGCACCCGGAGCCGGGCCTGAAAATCCTCAACTAGATCAATGATAGTAATATATATATGAAACAGACAACCCACACACCGCCTTGACTCATGTCATGTCATGGGGGCTTTACGACGCACTCAGCTGCTGAGGCCATATGGCGTCGCCTGCCTCTCACCCTGGCAGGAAGGGCGGGCACCGCGGGGAATCGAACCCCGTACCTCTGGTTTCGCGCAGTGGTTAACGCAGACGCATTAGCCGCTACACTACCGGCACCCCCCGCCTTGACTCACGTCTCAATAAATCTTCCACCTTTGACTCCCATGCGCCATTATCATGGATATCTTTTGGCTACTATATCACAAATTTTCTCCTTACACCTTCAAGTATATACCGTCCCGTTCGATCCGTCGTCAGCACGATTGCTGGCCTGAATGTGTGACGTCATGAGTGCAGACGGTGCGTTCGAGGTGCGGGCCGACAGGAAAGCTCTTTAACTTAACTTTTCCTTCTTCCTTTACCCTTTACTTCAGATCACACACTAACTCTGGCCTACCTCCGACACATTACGTACAAAGTGGTGTTTGGAAGGATGACTTTTGCTCGGGTATTACCATCACCTATCCCATCCGTATGTTGAGCGCTTCATCCCATTTCCAATTCATTCCAATTTCCTCCCTCTCGTTTTAAGGGCTTATCAATTATGTCAGTCGGTACCTTAGGCTCCAAGCCGAATGCGCCGATTGGCATAAAATATTCGTCATTCGATGCCGCTCAGTCGATAAACTATCATTTCCGAAGCGCCGTGACCTTGGGTAGGGTCAAAGATCACACAAAATACAAAAAAGAAAACATGTAGAGCAGGTAAGCCCATGTTCCGAGCATATGGCATCGATCACCATGAAACCTTCACCAATTGATGCAACATAATCAATATCCTAACCTTTCCAAAACATGATGACCTTGAGTCAGATAAAAGGTCACAAAAATGGCCAACAAAACTGGCTGCAGACAACCCCGCATACCGAGCCTATGACACCGATCAGCATATACCCTTCACCAATCGACGCGCCATAGTCGATAACCTAACCTTTCCAGACTACGGTGGCCTTGAGTCAGGTCTACCGTCACAAAATTGGGAAAAACCTTGGTTGCAAACAACCCAATGCCCGAAACCTATGACTCAAGTTGCCAGAATATTGAACCTGCAATGTTGACTACCGCAAACTTTTTTCACGGACGTATATTCTTTGCGATGAGGAAAACTAAACTAGCTTGGCCGCTATTCGTCTAACATTAAGCATTTTTCAGATCTAAAAATGGCGGCCGCCGCCAACTTGAATGCTAGCGAACTTTCCTATTTTGACCTGGAAGACATAGGCGGCCATGTAATATCCCAGAACGGGTGCTTTCATGGTTGGTGAGTCCATTTCTGGCCTTAACTTAACGACGCGCCACGGCAGCTGACCGAGGTCAACCAACATCTGATCTGCTGACAATGTAGTCTCACTATCCGAGTGTCACCAGGCGCGTACGCCCGCCAGTAGCTTCTCCTTGGCACGCTGGGAAAGGTGCTTCACCCGTCTCACATGTCAGTTCGTTTAGCGATTATACTTGTGGTGACCTGTCGGTTCAAATCAAAATCACTATAAAGGGACCTGGGCAACTTTTGGGAAATCGCGATATGCATCCGCATAGATCGGTACTTCGAGCAGTGAAGGTTTCATGCTGATCGGTGCCATAGGCCCGGAGCATGCTGCAAATTTGTGTTGTTTCGGCCGTCTTTGATGACATTTGACTTGACTCCAGCCTACCATTTCCTGAAAGAATGGGATATTGACTATGATGCATCGACTGATGAAGGTTTCATGGTGATCGGTGCCATGGGCCCGGAGGATGGAGTGGTCTGCAATCCCTTTTTCCCGGTTTCTGGCATTTTTTAGGCGGCGTTTGACCTGGCCCAAGGTCACCACGTTCATTGCAGGATAGGTTATCGACCAAGCAGCATCGAATGGTAAGGGTTTTCAAGCCAATCGGTGTCTTAGGCTCGGAGTATTGGTTGGCCGTTTAGCAACTCCCGCACAGGGAGGTAGTTTCGCAAACCGAATCAGGAGGGGGTCTTAAACAGCGAAAAGTGATTCGACCGACCCAACAAGGATACGACGCTAGCTGCAATGTTTAGCCTGATGGAACTTGATTAGTATAAAAACGCTCAAAAACAGGAAATTGATTAGCTTCATTTCAAAGCAGCCTGACACTAGCAGAAAACGAGAACGACGAACTCATGCCAGGCACGCACGCATGCTTCTTCTCAGCTGATGTAGGCGGGGTTGGAGCAAGTGTCAAATGTTGTTCAAACTCCCGGGACTTAGTCTGAATTTCTGCCTACATACATAGACTGCACGCCTAGCCTACAGGTCACATTTCCGCCTACAGTGTGAGCCTGCAGACTCGGGGGAGGGGGAGGGGGGAGACATGGCACTTGTGCCCTCTATGTCCCTGACTGGTACACAGTGTCGATGATATAGGTACGTCAGATAAGTGGAGCACTGAATTGCCACAATTTTTCAAATTTTTACGAACGAGGTCACAGTTTGCTGACCTAGGATAGAAAGACACCGAAACCTCCTGTTCAGATGCAACGTTCCAAAAAAAAACCGCATAAAACAGTCTCGTGATCTAGCAGATGCTTCAGAATGGGAGACATCCAAAAGAATGGCTGGCGGGCAGTGCTAACCTCCTCCAGCTGGCGGGTTTCATCGAAATCGACATGCACTGCTTCTTCACATATCGCAGGTACATCCCATTACTCCGATGTATACGTTTTCAATCACTTTCATGAGTTATGAGCATCGATACAACGCAAAATCACCGATCAGTCGATAACTGAGGAAACAACCAAATGCGGTATATTATCGAAATACCTCACCATTGGCATTTAAGCGTGAACGTTCCTTCCGATGAACTTCACCAAAACATAGGAAACGACGTCGTCACCAAGTGTGCTGCAGTCCGTAACCACCGGACAGCGTTTGACTTCTCAACCTCCTTGGGCTCCCTGGACTCCTTCAGGAGCAAAAGTCCTTTCAGTGAGTCACTGGACGTCGGACGTCCATGCGCCGCAAGCAGTGCGAGCGACACCTAGCAAGGAACGCGGGAACTATGTTCTGGTTAGGGGGGGGGGCGAAACTCTAAAATGCCAAAATGGGCCCACTTAGATTAGACAATGGGCCCCAACAGGCTGGGACGGGCCCTTTACCCTCAATAAGGGGCCCTCTTTTGGTCAGAATACGTCCCACAGGGTTCGAGTGGACCCTCTGCAAGGGAAAAACATTCACAGTCAATAATGAACTATCTACGAGTTAGAATGGGCCAACTATAGTTCAAAATAGGACCCTTTCGACTTAGAATGGGCCCTTGTTAGGCCAAAATGAGCTCTTCATAGATCAGAATGGGCCCTGCACAGGCCTAAATCACCCCCTTCGCAGACTAGCGTGGGCCCTCCATAGTCGATAATATGCCCTTTGCATGTTACAACCAGCCCTCTACAGGTCAAAATGGGCCCTCCAAAACCAATAATGGCTGCTACACAGGACAGACTGGATACTCTATGGTCAAAAAGGCCCCCCTGTATGCCAGAATGAGCTTTCTGTAGTCAGTAATATGCCTTGCAAATGTCAAAATGAACCCTCTACAGACCAAAATGGGCCCTCTACAGAGCAAAATTTCCTTCCGCGGTCAACAATGATCCTCTACAGGTCAGAACGGGTCCTCTAAGGACCAGAATGATAGGAACTACAACCAATAATGGGCCCTCTACGAGCCTAAATGGCCCCTCTACAGGTCAGAATGAGCCACATGCGAGGCAGAATGGGTCCTCGACAGTCAATATTAGACCCTCTATAGCTCATAATGAGTCCCTAAAGACCATAATGAGCCTTCTACGGATCAGAATGGGCCCTCTAAAGACCCGAATGAGCTCTCTACAGGCCAGAACCGGCCCTACAGCCAATAAGGGCCGTCCACAGATCAGAATGGGCTTTTGCAGGCCGGAATAGGCCCTCCGAAGTCAATAATCGGCCTTGTTCGGGTCAAAATTGGCCCTCTAAGGCTCAGAAGTGACCTCTTGTCTGTCAGAATAGGTCCTACATAGGATAGAATAGGCCATCATCAGTTCAGAAGAGACTTTTAAATGCTTGCACAATATCTTTCCATGTTCAGAATCGACGCTTAACATACCAGAATGGGCCCTCTACAGCCCCCATGTTGGAGGAGCGCTGCCCCCCCCCCCCCCCTGCTCTCCAGTTGGGTGGGTGAGTTGTCCCTACTGTCCCCTCGGTTCTCGCGTCCTTGCACCTGGCGACACACGCATGGCAGCGGGCGCACCGTAGGCTAGCGCGATTTGGACGCATGGTCCGTGTGTCAGACCTTCCTAGAGATGCACGATCATCTGCTTCAGCCAAAGCTGTCTAAAACGGGCTGGCAATGTCTGATGTGTCATACCGTTAATGGCAGGACGTAGGTACGTACAAGAGGGCACAGCTGCTCTCTTCGCAAACACACTTGCCTTCTTTGATTAGGTCTACGCTTCTTACAAACGGAATGTTACAAGCAGCGACGAAGACAACGAAAGCGTGCCAAACGCTGAACGAGACAAATCAATTATTCATGAGAAGGCCGGGATGGGGCGAAGCGCGGCGACACGTCACGAACTGCTGGCAGCCACTTAACCACGGTCCTGCGTCAGACCCGCAGCGGTCCGGGCGTGGTCCTCACGCGCGAGTGTGACGGTTCACAGGCACTAACCGGCGGTGGTCTCACCTCTCTGTGGTCCGTCGCCCGGGAGACGTGTGAGCCGCGCGCGCGCAGTGGCTCCCGTCCGACCAGCCTCACTTGCAGAGAGTCGGCCGCCAGACGACCGCGCCGCGGCCGCTGCGCGTGACCTTCACCGGCGAAGCGCCTCTCAGTGACGTCCCCGGGGCTCTCAAACTTGGTGTCGGACGGGCGCGACGCTTCGACTTGTTGCGTGAGGCACCGACCGCGGTTACGTAAAACGAGCGAGCGCGGTAGATGAAGAGGAATGGTGGGGGTGGGTGGGGAGAGAGTCGGGGTCGTCGACACGGGGCCGTTCGTGTGGGGGACTTAGGAGCTGCTGCGGGAGACCAGGCGTCTTAGGAGACCGGCTGGCGGGAGATGCCCCGCCGTCTCCCGCATAAGGAGGACGTGATTTCCACTTTGAAAACGTTCTCCCGCAGTTACGTGTTAGGCGACGAGCATCGCAGCGAGCACATGTCTCGCCAGGTATTCGCCGGAAGCGTGCGTCATGCGGCTCCGCGCCCTCCCCCCCCCCCCCCCCCCCCCCCGACAACAGCGTCAGCGCGATTATACCGCGCGCCGATTGCGC